AAAATATTAAAAATTATAAAGGAAATTTTCTACAAAACAGTTTGTGAAGAAAAGCTTTCCATAGAAAAGCATTTTTCTATAGAAAAGTTTGTTTTTTAATGAAAAGTTTGTGAAGCAAAGTTTTCTATAGAAAAGTTGGTGAAGGAAAGTTTTCTATAGAAAAGTTTGTGAAGGAAAGTTTTCTATAGAAAAGTTTGTGAAGGAAAGTTATTTATAGAAAAGTTGGTGAAGGAAAGTTTTCTATAGAAAAGTTGGTGAAGGAAAGTTTTCTATAGAAAAGTTGGTGAAGGAAAGTTTTCTATAGAAAAGTTGGTGAAGGAAAGTTTTCTATAGAAAAGTTTATGAAGGAAAGTTTTCTATAGAAAAGTTTATGAAGGAAAGTTTTCTATAGAAAAGTTGGTGAAGGAAAGTTTTCTATAGAAAAGTTGGTGAAGGAAAGTTTTCTATAGAAAAGTTGGTGAAGGAAAGTTTTCTATAGAAAAGTTGGTGAAGGAAAGTTTTCTATAGAAAAGTTGGTGAAGGAAAGTTTTCTATAGAAAAGTTGGTGAAGGAAAGTTTTCTATAGAAAAGTTGGTGAAGGAAAGTTTTCTATAGAAAAGTTTGTGAAGGAAAGTTTTCTATAGAAAAGTTTGCGAAGGAAAGTTTTCTATAGAAAAGTTTGTGAAGGAAAGTTTTCTATAGAAAAGTTTGTGAAGGAAAGTTTTCTATAGAAAAGTTTGGGAAGGAAAGTTTTCTATAGAAAAGTTTGTGAAGGAAAGTTTTCTATAGAAAAGTTTGGGAAGGAAAGTTTTCTATAGAAAAGTTTGGGAAGGAAAGTTTTCTATAGAAAAGTTTGGGAAGGAAAGTTTTCTATAGAAAAGTTTGGGAAGGAAAGTTTTCTATAGAAAAGTTTGGGAAGGAAAGTTTTCTATAGAAAAGTTTGGGAAGGAAAGTTTTCTATAGAAAAGTTTGGGAAGGAAAGTTTTCTATAGAAAAGTTTATGAAGGAAAGTTTTCTATAGAAAAGTTTATGAAGGAAAGTTTTCTATAGAAAAGTTTATGAAGGAAAGTTTTCTATAGAAAAGTTTATGAAGGAAAGTTTTCTATAGAAAAGTTTGTGAAGGAACGTTTTCTATAGAAAAGTTTGTGAAGGAAAGTTTTCTATAGAAAAGTTTGTAAAGGAAAGTTTTCTATAGAAAAGTTTGTAAAGGAAAGTTTTCTATAGAAAAGTTTGTAAAGGAAAGTTCTCTAAAGAAGAGTTTGTAAAGGAAAGTTCTCTAAAGAAAAGTTTGTAAAGGAAAGTTCTCTAAAGAAAAGTTTGTTTAGGAATGTTCTCTAAAGAAAAGTTTGTTTAAGAAATTTCTCTAAAAAAGTTTGTTTAGGAAAGTTCTATAAATAAACGTTTAGTTAGGAAGTTTTCTATAGAAAAGTTTGTGAAGGAATGTTTTCTATAGAAAAGTTTGTGAAGGACAGTGTTCTGTAGAAAAGTTTGTTAAAAAAAAGCTTTCTTTAGAAAAGTTTGTGAAGGAAAGTTTTCTATAGAAAAGTTTGTTAAAGAAATTTTTCTATAGAAACGATTGTGAAGGAAAGTTTTCTGTAGAAACGATTGTGAAGGAAAGTTTTCTTTAGAAAAGTTGGTGAAGGAAAGTTTTCTATAGAAACGATTGTGAAGGAAAGTTTTCTATAGAAAAGTTTGTGAAAGCAAGTTTTCTAAGGAAAAGTTTTTTGAGGAAAGATTTCTATAGAAAAAGTTTTCAATAAAAGTTCTATTTGTATAGAAAATCTTGGAATCAAAGTTTTCTATATAAAAGCTTTGGATGAATGTTTTCTATATAAAAGCTTTTTAATAAAAGTTTTTTTCAAAAATTTAAAATTTTCACTAAAATTTAAATTTTCAAAAATAATAAATTTTTTACTAAAATTTTAATTTTCATTAAAATTTCGAATTTCTACTAAAATTTCGAATTTTCACTAAAATTTCGAATTTTCACACAAATTTCGAATTTTCATTAAAATTTCGAATTTTTACAAAAATTTCAAGTTTTCACTAAAATTTCGAATTTTTACTAAAATTTCGAATTTTTAATTAAATTTCGAATTTTCACTAATATTTCAAATTTTTTTCAAAATTATGTATTTTCACAAAAAAATTTTAAATTTTTTTAAAAAATGTTTCTAATTCTATAAATCAAATTATAAAAATGTTCTTATCTTTTTTTTAATTCAAATAAAATTTTAAACATCTTTATGCATATTTTTGAAAATCTTCTAAAAATAACTCAATATGCGCAATTTGTTTTCCTATAACGGTCGGCCGATAGTCTGTCTTATAGGAAATTGCGTTTTTCTTTCAACAAGATCGAGACGACTGCATGCTCGAGAGAAGAATAAAAAAATATCTCATTTACAAGTACCGCAAATCTTTTATTGAAACATTGCAAAATAAGCTAAAGTAGGTTTTTACAATAATGAAAAAAATAAATCTAAATAAACTGTAAAAAACAAACGCCAATGCATTGGTGTATTACAACATCTCAATGAATATCAATTGCTGTTAGTAGTAAAGATGGAAACAATAGAGCAACACAATAAAAGCGGCGGCTGCTGCAGTATGAATGATTGTAAAATTTGAGAAGTGGATCAGACAATCAACTAATTTTATGAAATGCTAAACCACAGATTAGCAATAAAAATCTCTTTAGTCTTGTTGAAATATTTGAAAACTAATTATATACATTTAGTTATAAAATCTAATATTTTCCCGCTTGTAGTTGGTGGTTTCAATTGTAATTTAGTTACGTTTTTGATGTTACGCTTCAGCAACAAAATCATTACAAATAAACTTTTTGTATTCAAAACTAAATAAAAAAAAAAAACAAAATTAAAACCAAAAGGCCAGTCAGTATTAGTGTTAATACTCAAAATGATAATGTTTTCATTTGTTTAACTGACAGTTTGACTATTTGACGTTTTGTCTTGCTGCTGCTATAGTCGGCATAAATGTTGTACAAGTGTTAACTACTACTAACCTCCATTTAATAGTTTGTCTATTGTTTTTTCTTTCGTTTACATATTGTTTTTGTAATATACAACTGCAACAACAACTGCTGCAACAAATAATTAACAATATTATAGATTTTTGCTTTGTGTATAATTTTACACTTCAGTTTTTTTTTTTTTTTTTTTTGTCTTTTAAGTATGTGAGAAGGTTATTAGCAAATATTATGTGGTTTGATCTAGTTTTAAACGCAAACCGTAATACAAGTACATTTTACAATAAATGCAATAAACACGAGTTTACAAATTCCAGAAAAATTGTGGCGTAATGTGGAAAATATTGAAATCTAGGAGATGAATTACAATACAAAAGGCGCCAGTGTAAAAAAACCGCAGGGAATTTTGCAAGGAAATGTTTCCACAAATGGAGAGGTGACGAAGAATAGAATAGAGCAAAAACTTTAAACTAGACTAGACTAGAGACTAACCTAGAGACAGGACTAGAGACTCAATTAGTTCTAGTGCAGTACTATTTCTATCCTAGTTCTATTCTAGTTCTGTTCTAGTTCTATTCTAGTTCTGTTCTAGTTCTGTTCTAGTTCTATTCTAGTTCTGTTCTGTTCTAATTCTGTTCTAGTTCTGTTCTAGTTCTGTTCTAGTTCTGTTCTAGTTCTGTTCTAGTTCTGTTTTAGTTCTGTTCTAGTTCTGTTCTAGTTCTGTTCTAGTTCTGTTCTAGTTCTGTTCTAGTTCTGTTCTAGTTCTGTTCTAGTTCTGTTCTAGTTCTGTTCTAGTTCTGTTCTAGTTCTGTTCTAGTTCTGTTCTAGTTCTGTTTTAGTTCTGTTCTAGTTCTGTTCTAGTTCTGTTCTAGTTCTGTTCTAGTTCTGTTCTAGTTCTGTTCTAGTTCTGTTCTAGTTCTGTTCTAGTTCTGTTCTAGTTCTGTTCTAGTTCTGTTCTAGTTCTGTTCTAGTTCTGTTCTAGTTCTGTTCTAGTTCTGTTCTAGTTCTGTTCTAGTTCTGTTCTAGTTCTGTTCTAGTTCTGTTCTAGTTCAGTTCTAGTTCTGTTCTAGTTCTGTTCTAGTTCTGTTCTAGTTCTGTTCTAGTTCTGTTCTAGTTCTGTTCTAGTTCTGTTCTAGTTCTGTTCTAGTTCTGTTCTAGTTCTGTTCTAGTTCTATTCTAGTTCTGTTCTAGTTCTGTTCTAGTTCTGTTCTAGTTCAGACACCAGAGTTCTAGACTGATGTTTAGAAACTGGACTAGCGACTAGACTTGAGACCAAACTAGAGTCTAAAGATGAGGATTACTAGACTTTAAACTAAAGAATTGATTGGAGTATAATTTTTCAATCCACATAAGATTTTGCAACAACAGTTTTATCATTAAAAAATCTATAAATTGCTAAAAATTTCATAAAATATTTATACCTATCAAATATTGAAAGTTAACTACGCAATATATTTAATCGAAATCTTAAAAAACTAGTGACAAAAAGACGTCATGGGGGCTCTCATGTGCAGTTTATTAACCCAAATACTATTTTTGGTCAAACATATAAAATGTTGTAATGCTAAAACAGACCAAATTTAGACTAAACTATTTATGTAGTTAAACATTATTATGAATTTTGTTAAACAAAAACAAAGAAACTTTCAAATTTTTTCCAACTCTAAATAGTAGATGTAAACGCAAATGGAAAACCTTAGGTTTGAGGTTGACCATATCAATATATAAATAAATAAATAAAACAGCCAGCAGCTATATTAAAACGCATGATTCATGGAATAAAAATAAAAAAATTTTAACAAAAAACCGGAAAGTTGAATTAAACAGAAAAATAAAACAACAAAACAACTTCAAATAAGTGAATGATTAAAAATAAAACGAAATTAAAACTAAAATTTTTATTTTTTTGTATAAAACATAAAAATACAAAACAAAGAAAACATGAGAAACATAAACAAATCACGGACACTGATTATATTATTAAATAAAATAATTAGTTTTATGTTGAGAAAAACAACATTTAACTTACCATTTGGCGGTGGTCTCCAGGTGTAGTTCATGATATGAAGCGGTAAATTGAAATTTGGCAGCACGTTTATTAACACGCTGCAAACGTTTCCAAACACTACCCATAGCTGGCATGATGATGAAAAACTTTTAAATTTGTTCTCCTCTTAAACGCTGATAAAATTTAAATCTTTATTAATATTTTTTTCTTTAGAGATAAACCTTTAACAGGTTCGTCACTAGTTGGGTTTTTTATGAAAATATTTGATTTTTTACTAAAATTTTAGTTTTTCGTTTTTATTTAACAAAAAACTATTTTCTTTTATTAAAACTTTAAAATTTCATTTAACATTTGTGCGTTTTCTTTTTTAAATTACACAGATTTTGTGTATTTTTAAAACATTTTCTTGTTTGATTTTGACATTTTTTGGATTTTTTTTTAATTAAACTTTCAGCACCGTTTCAATTTTAATCTGTAATTGAAAGAAAAATTAATTTATTATAAAATTTTTTGTTATCGTTGCTATACTATACAAATATTTTTATATATTTTGCATTTTAAACATTTTTAAATGATAACGTTTCATTATTAAAATGATAACTTCGACTGTCATTTAATAAATGTTTGTATTTTTTATTTTCATTACTTGTTGGAAGGTCAAAAAGCCAGGTGATTTTAAAAGAAAATTTTTTTTTATAATTTACAAATCTGTTCTAATAAAACATTCATTTATTAAATAATTAAATACAAATTTATTTAAATTTATTGCAAAATCAACTATAATAACAACTATTGCGTAGCATGTTTTATTACCACGTAATGCAAACAAATTGTAAACGAGAGTGAGAGATATAATAATCTCTCTGAACTAGAACTGAACAAGAACTAACTAGAACTGAACTAGAACTGAACTAGAACTGAACTAGAACTGAACTAGAACTGAACTAGAAACTGAACTAGAACTGAACTAGAACTGAACTAGAACTAACTAGAAACTGAACTAGAACTGAACTAGAACTGAACTAGAACTGAACTAGAACTGAACTAGAACTGAACTAGAACTGGAACTAGAACTGAAACTAGAAGCTGAACTAGAACTGAACTAGAACTGAACTAGAACTGAACTAGAACTGAACTAGAACTGAACTAGAATGAACTGAACTAGAACTAGAAACTGAACTGAACTGTGAACTAGAAACTGAACTAGAACTGAACTAGAACTGGAACTCGAACGAACTAGAATGACCTAGAACGGACACTAGAAACTGAACTAGAACTGAACTAGAACTGAACTAGAACTGAACTAGAACTGAACTAGAACTGAACTAGAACTGAACTAGAACTGAACTAGAACTGAACTAGAACTGAACTAGAACTGAACTAGAACTGAACTAGAACTGAACTAGAACTGAACTAGAACTGAACTAGAACTGAACTAGAACTGAACTAGAACTGAACTAGAACTGAACTAGAACTGAACTAGAACTGAACTAGAACTGAACTAGAACTGAACTAGAACTGAACTAGAACTGAACTAGAACTGAACTAGAACTGAACTAGAACTGAACTAGAACTGAACTAGAACTGAACTAGAACCTGAACTAGAACTGAACTAGAACTGAACTAGAACTGAACTAGAACTGAACTAGAACTGAACTAGAACTGAACTAGAACTGAACTAGAACTGAACTAGAACGGAACTAGAACTGAACTAGAACTGAACTAGAACTGAACTAGAACTGAACTAGAACTGAACTAGAACTGAACAGAACTGAACTAGAACTGAACTAGAACTGAACTAGAACTGAACTAGAACTGAACTAGAACTGAACTAGAACTGAACTAGAACTGAACTAGAACTGAACTAGAACTGAACTAGAACTGAACTAGAACTGAACTAGAACTGAACTAGAACTGAACTAGAACTGAACTAGAACTGAACTAGAACTGAACTAGAACTGAACTAGAACTGAACTAGAACTGAACTAGAACTGAACTAGAACTGAACTAGAACTGAACTAGAACTGAACTAGAACTGAACTAGAACTGAACTAGAACTGAACTAGAACTGAACTAGAACTGAACTAGAACTGAACTAGAACTGAACTAGAACTGAACTAGAACTGAACTAGAACTGAACTAGAACTGAACTAGACTGAACTAGAACTGAACTAGAACTGAACTAGAACTGAACTAGAACTGAACTAGAACTGAACTAGAACTGAACTAGAACTGAACTAGAACTGAACTAGAACTGAACTAGAACTGAACTAGAACTGAACTAGAACTGAACTAGAACTGAACTAAAAAAAACTGAACTAGAACTGAACTAGAACTGAACTAGAACTGAACTAGAACTGAACTAGAACTGAACTAGAACTGAACTAGAACTGAACTAGAACTGAACTAGAACTGAACTAGAACTGAACTAGAACTGAACTAGAACTGAACTAGAACTGAACTAAACTAGAACTAAAACTAGAACTGAACTAGAACTGAACTAGAACTGAACTAGAACTGAGCTAGAACTGAACTAGAACTGAACTAGAACTGAACTAGAACTGAACAAACTGAACTGAATGAACTAGAACTGAACTAGAACTGCTGACTGAACTAGAACTGAACTAGAACTGAACTAGAACTGAACTAGAACTGAACTAGAACTGAACTAGAACTGAACTAGAACTGAACTAGAACTGAACTAGAACTGAACTAGAACTGAACTAGAACTGAACTAGAACTGAACTAGAACTGAACTAGAACTGAACTAGAACTGAACTAGAACTGAACTAGAACTGAACTGAACTAGAACTGAACTAGAACTGAACTAGAACTGAACTAGAACTGAACTAGAACTGAAAGAACTGAACTAGAACTGAACTAGAACTGAACTAGAACTGAACTAGAACTGAACTAGAACTAGAACTAGAACTAACTGAACTATAACTAGAAATAAGTCAATTGAAGATTATTTTTCTTTAAAAACAATATTTTTAAAAGATTTTTAAAATCATTATAAATTTCCAAAAATTATACACAACTTTCTTATCAAATTATCAAAAAATAAACATATTGAATATTCCAACAGTAAATATAGTAATTCAAACTCATAAATAAAGGTTGTTTTTTTTTTTTTTCAATAAAACTCCAGAAAAAATTCTTTAACGAAAATTTAATCAACATATTTTTTCAACATGTTTAGAATATTAATGGGAATTTTCATAAACACACGACAATAAACCAAAACGAAAAAAAAAATTCAATAATTTTGTTTTTGTGGAAATGTCCACAATAACTTCCCTAGATATAACAGAAATTAATGAATGATTTCTAGAGGAGTGGGTAAGAAGTACAAAAGCATTTAAAAGTTGCAAGTAAATGTGACAACTGAAGAAAAACAGATAATGTAGACAATGATAGAGAAGAACACATAGTAAATGTTTGTATTACAAAATAATGTAGTTGAAAACCATGACAACTAATAAAAACAACAACAATAGAAACAATATCAGCAATATCAACAACAATAATACAAATAAAGACAAAAAAAACAAAAGACAACATAGGATTTTATATGTATGCACAGACAAATGTCTGTCAGCCCTTCCCTCCAGTTAGGCAGACAGCCAGTCAAGCAGGCAGTCGAACCAAAACATTTGACTGAACATACTATCAACTACTTGGATGTAGATTTTTGCACATGTGTAGATTTGTTAAAGACATTTGAAGAATGTTAAATCACAAGGGGGTCCCTTCTTGTTGTACTTGCACAACGTCTCGCTCTCTGTCTTTATAATTATCATTATCATCAACAACAAATACAATTTGCTGTTGTGGATGGATATCTTTTACCCCGGTTTACCTCTCTGTCTTTATAGTTGAGGTGTTGGTGGCGGTGGCAGGGAAATTGAGGGACAACATCGTTTGTAACAGCACATGTTTTAAATTTGTATCATAAAATTTTTAATAACGAGTGTAAGAATTAGAGCTGTAATTAGGATTATTTTTATAGGAAATTCCGAAAATAGATTTTTCCGAAAATTTCCCACAATTTTGAAAAAGATTTCTAAATTTAGAAAAAGTTTTATATCATATTCCTTATTTTCAGAATAGTTGCCCTTGAAATTTCTTAAACTAAAAATATTTTAAAAACCTTTTTATTGAAAAACCCTGTTAAACAAAAACCCAAAACACAAAATGCTCATCAACTGTTTACTAAAGGTAATTTAAGTAACCAGCAACTACACAAACAGCAAAAAAAAGTTAAATAACTAAAACAAAAACAAAATAACACAAGAAAATGTATCGAAAATTATTTTAGATTTGTTTATAAGTTTACAACTACTGCTGCTGATGTTGTGTTGTGGCTGCTGCATTTTGCAGATGCTGCTTTTATGGATTTGCTTGGAAAATAATCTCTGGTAATTACCAAATGACAGCCAAATTGATACACGAGTGTATGTATTTAAATTGTATAGCCGGTTTTGTTCTTTTAAATGTTGTTGTTGTAGTTAGAAATATAATTTTTAGACTGACATTCAAGTGGGCAGGATATAGACGATGATGTTGATGTTGATGACGAACATAACAAAGTAACAACAAATTTTACTTAAAAGAAAGGTGGGTTTTAGAAACAAAAATTGTGCAAAAAAAGCACAAAAATGAATACCTTTCAAGTAGTATGAAGTCATGAAAGGAACTGGTGATAAAAAGGTTTTAACAACAGGTAATTTTTTCTATAAAATGTGGCTTAAGATTAGTAGGAGAGGAACAAATTTTAAGGATTATTTGCAAAACTAGAAGAGATTATGCAAATTATTAATTTAGTGTGAAAAAGTAATTAAAATGGACAGTTCCCTTGGGAGGAGTAGGGTTTTCAGAAGTGTTTAGAACTAGAACTGAACTAGAACTGCACTAGAACTGAACAACTAGAACTGAACTAGAACTGAACTAGAACTGAACTAGAACTGAACTAGAACTGAACTAGAACTGAACTAGAACTGAACTAGAACTGAACTAGAACTGAACTAGAACTGAACTAGAACTGAACTAGAACTGAACTAGAACTGAACTAGAACTAGAACTGAACTAGAACTGAACTAGAACTGAACTAGAACTGAACTAGAACTGAACTAGAACTGAACTAGAACTGAACTAGAACTGAACTAGAACTGAACTAGAACTGAACTAGAACTGAACTAGAACTGAACTAGAACTGAACTAGAACTGAACTAGAACTGAACTAGAACTGAACTAGAACTGAACTAGAACTGAACTAGAACTGAACTAGAACTGAACTAGAACTGACTAGAACTGCACTAGAACTGAACTAGAACTGAACTAGAACTGAACTAGAACTGAACTAGAACTGAACTAGAACTGAACTAGAACTGAACTAGACTGAACTAGAACTGAACTAGAACTGAACTAGAACTGAACTAGAACTGAACTAGAACTGAACTAGAACGAAACTGAACTAGAACTGAACTAGAACTGAACTAGAACTGAACTAGAACTGAACTAGAACTGAACTAGAACTGAACTAGAACTGAACTAGAACTGAACTAGAACTGAACTAGAACTGAACTAGAACTGAACTAGAACTGAACTAGAACTGAACTAGAACTGAACTAGAACTGAACTAGAACTGAACTAGAACTGAACTAGAACTGAACTAGAACTGAACTAGAACTGAACTAGAACTGAACTAGAACTGAACTAGAACTGAAACTAGAACTGAACTAGAACTGAACTAGAACTGAACTAGAACTGAACTAGAACTGAACTAGAACTGAACTAGAACTGAACTAGAACTGAACTAGAACTGAACTAGAACTGAACTAGAACTGAACTAAGAACTGAACTAGAACTGAACTAGAACTGAACTAGAACTGAACTAGACTGAACTAGAACTGAACTAGAACTGAACTAGAACTGAACTAGAACTGAACTAGAACTGAACTAGAACTGAACTAGAACGAACTAAACTGAACTAGAACTGAACTAGAACTGAACTAGAACTGAACTAGAACTGAACTAGAACTGAACTAGCTGAACTAGAACTGAACTAGAACTGAACTAGAACTGAAACTAGAACTGACTAGAACTGAACTAGAACAGACTGAACTAGAACTGAACTAGAACTAGAATAGAACTGAAGAAACTGACTAGAACTGAACTAGAACTGAACTAGAACTGAAACTAGAACTGAACTAGAAACTGAACTAGAACTGAACTAGAACTGAACTAGAACTGAACTAGAACTGAACTAGAACTGAACTAGAACTAACAGAACTGAACTAGAACTGAACTAGAACTGAACTAGAACTGAACTAGAACTGAACTAGAACTGAACTAGAACTGAACTAGAACTGAACTAGAACTTAACTAGAACTGAACTAGAACTGAACTACAACTGAACTACAACTGAACTAGAACTGAACTAGAACTGAACTAGAACTGAACTAGAACTAAACTAGAACTGAACTAGAACTGAACTAGAACTGAACTAGAACTGAACTAGAACTAGAACTAGAACTGAACTAGAACTGAACTAGAACTGAACTGGAACTGAACTAGAACTGAACTAGAACTGAACTAGAACTGAACTAGAACTGAACTAGAACTGAACTAGAACTGAACTAGAACTGAACTAGAACTGAACTAGAACTGAACTAGAACTGAACTAGAACTGAACTAGAACTGAACTAGAACTGAACTAGAACTGAACTAGAACTGAACTAGAACTGAACTAGAACTGAACTAGAACTCAACTGAACTGAACTTGAACTAGAAGGGAACTAGAACTGAACTACCACTATAGTTTAGTTATTTGTATTTAAATTATAATTTGTAATTTATTTTCAATTTCGAGGAAAATTACGACAATTTTGTTGTTGATTTTGTAACCTTGCCACCAATGTGCCAATTTATAGTTTGTTGTAGTTGTTGTTTTTTTTCTATTTATTACACATTTTGTTTGCAACATCACGATACTTCTTCGAGTGTCTTGTGTCTTCTGCTGCCACTTTGATGTTTTTGTTGTTTTTCTTGTATTTTTTATTTTGACATTTTTTCTTGCTGCAATTTAATGAAAGACAACCTTGAATAATTTTTTGCTAAAAAGTTTTGTTGTTGTTGTTTTTACTATGTTTTAATAGAGACAGACACATATTTTTAATGAATATTAGTAATTTTTTTAATTTAATTTAAATAAATTTCTTGGAAATTTTATTAAAATTATAAATTTTATTATTTTTTTACATGGTGGTGGTTTTTTGTCTTTGTTGTCTGTGTATTTTAACAAAAATTTTCTGGAGAATTTATTCTTTGAACTTTTTGACCTTTACTTGTCTTAGCTAGAATTACAATAACAAAAATTTAACATTTTAATGCAAATTTTTAATTAGTAATATTTAAATTTTATTAAGAACTACACTTTCTATTTAAAACTTTTTTTCTTCATTCTCTTTTTCTTTTAATAACTATTTTGTATTTGCACCACCTTTTACTTATTGTTGTTGTTATTTACCACCCCATTTGGTGGTTATATTAAGGTGTCACTAACAAAAAACAAAAACAATACTAAATAGAAAAGCAAAAAAACGAAAAAACAGAGACGATGACGAATGTTTTTCTTTGCTTGTTTTTGTTCTAGTAGTAAATGGCTGTTTGTCTTTCTAAACAATGACGTCACTTTGTTATTTTTTCTGCACTTTATAATAACTGCACTATTTTCACAAATACAATTAATATTTTTTCTTTAAAATATATTTTATAGCAATTATTTTTATAAAACTTGATTAAGTTTGTTTTATTATCATTTTAGTGTAAATTTTTTTCATTTATTTTTTGCTTAAATAAGAAGAAGACACTGACCACTTTTGCACAAACCTCGTTGTAAAAACCAGGTTTAAATTGTATGCGTTAGAGCGAGAGCACAATAGTAAATTTCTCTGTGTGTAGAGTTTTAGCAACAACAAAAACAGTAATATTATTGTTGTTGCTTTGTTATTTTTTCACTTTTCTTGTTTCTTGAAGAAAAACCGCTATCCGCTTTAACAATTTAACGACAACCGCTTCGTTTGCTTGCTCATAATTTACTGAGGCAAAAAGAAGACAGAAAATTTTTCATTATTTTTGTGTTTAGTACTGCCGGATGGGTAAATGTAAGTAATTTTAGCGATTTTTGTAGCAGGTGAAAACAAAACATTATACGGCCACAAATTATAAAGTATTTCTCTAAATTTTTTACTAAAGTGCTTAAAATGTTTCGAGAAATTTATTTTAAATAAAACTTTCACAAAATTTTAATTTTCACTAAAAAAGGATTGGTTTTTACACAAAAAGTCAGATTTTTTAGTGAAAACTTAATGAAAAGAAAGAAGTATTTTGTAAACGGGTTTTAATATATCTACTCAAATTAGTGTTTTTATTTTCCCCCTTCTTGTTATTGCAACTATTTTATCAATGTGGCATCTCAGCTTTCAATTGTTTTGTTGAAGTGTGGAACGAAACAAACAGCTGTTATTGTTTATAAATACAATTTTAGGTGAATTTTTAATATATAATAATAATAATTAGTTGAAAAGAAGTAACTTTTAAACAATTTATAACAAAAGTGCAATTCGAAAAGTTTTTGTTATCATTTTAAATTTAAATTCTCCTATCAAATTAATTTTCCTCAATTTCACCACGGAAATGCAGAGGAAACCCAACACATCAGTGTTGCCAGAACTTCTTTAGAAAAAAGTGTTATATGACGTTAAAAGTATTGAAATTTCTTTAATAAAGTGCTAAAAAATCCATATCAAGTTTTTAAAAAGTCGATTAAACCATGTCCGTTAAACCACTCCTCCCCCACATCGGACCTTAACCATCCTGGAGTGAAGTATGTCGAATGATGTTCTGAGTCTGTTGAATGAATGAGAAGTGTGCTGTACTAGAACAGAACTAGAACAGAACTAGAACAGAACTAGAACAGAACTAGAACAGAACTAGAACAGAACTGGAACAGAACTCGAACAGAACTGAACAGAAACTAGACCGAACTAGAACAGAACTAGAACAGCACTAGAACAGAACTAGACAGAACTAGAACAGAACTAGAACAGAACTAGAACAGAACTAGAACAGAACTAGAACAGAACTAGAACAGAACTAGAACAGAACTAGAACAGAACTAGAACAGACCCTAGAACAGAACTAGAACAGAACTAGAACAGAACTAGAACAGAACTAGAACAGAACTAGAACAGAACTAGAACAGAACTAGAACAGAACTAGAACAGAACTAGAACAGAACTAGAACAGAACTAGAACAGAACTAGAACAGAACTAGAACAGAACTAGAACAGAACTAGAACAGAACTAGAACAGAACTAGAACAGAACTAGAACAGAACTAGAACAGAACTAGAACAGAACTAGAACAGAACTAGAACAGAACTAGACAGAACTAGAACAGAACAGAACTAGAACAGAACTAGAACAGAACTAGAACAGAAATAGAACAGAACTAGAACAGAACTAGAACAGAACTAGAACAGAACTAGAACAGAACTAGAACAGAACTAGAACAGAACTAGAACAGAACAGAACTACAACAGAACTAGAACAGAACTAGAACAGAACTAGAACAGAACTAGAACAGAACTAGAACAGAACAGAACTACAACAGAACTAGAACAGAACTAGAACAGAACTAGAACAGAACTAGAACAGAACTAGAACAGAACTAGAACAGAACTAGAACAGAACTAGAACAGAACTAGAACAGAACTAGAACAGAACTAGAACAGAACTAGAACAGAACTAGAACAGAACTAGAACAGAACTAGAACAGAACTAGAACAGAACTAGAACAGAACTAGAACAGAACTAGAACAGAACTAGAACAGAACTAGAACAGAACTAGAACAGAACTAGAACAGAACTAGAACAGAACTAGAACAGAACTAGAACAGAATTAGAACAGAACTAGAACAGAACTAGAACAGAACTAGAACAGAACTAGAACAGAACTAGAACAGAACTAGAACAGAACTTGAAGTGAACTGAACTAGATATCTGCTAGAACTAAACTAGATTTAAAACTTTACACGAACTAAATAATTGATTATTAACATTGTCTTTCTTATATTATTATCATTTACTCCCTCTCATACTATGTTTTGCTTTTCTCTTTTATGCAGCATCAATTCAAATTAAGCTCTTTTAGTATTCCTTTGATATTTTCACTTATGCTTCTTTTTAATTCATAAGCAATTAGTTTCATATTAATCTTCCTACGGTACGGTGATCGGAAAAAAGTAAAGTTTAAATCGGGAGTGTTAATTTTTATTTTTTGGTAAAAAGTGTGTTTAATAATTTAATTTGTTTATAAATAAAAAGTTGGTATAAAAATAATATTAAAAAAGTGTTTTTAATAAAAATATATTAAAAAAGTAATAAAAAAGGTTTTAATTAATAAGTCTTTTATAGAAAATGGTTAAAAATAATAAGCATTTTTAAATTTCTATTTAAAAAGTTTAAATTATTGTGTTTAAAAGCTTTAGTATAAAATTTCTCTAAAAAGTGTTTTTTTTTTTAATAAATTTATTATTTCTAATTAAATTAAATGCAAAATCAAATATAAAAATGCGTAATTTCATTGGCAGCGCTGCTTTTCGGTCGCTTCTTTTTCATTCATCCCGTTGCGTATCGTTCGTTGTTGGTGTTTTTGCTAAAACAAATAAATCAAATCATTGGTCCTGCTTGAACATGATCAATGGTCAAACGAGTTAAAACAACAACAATAAGTTTTAAGGTAAGTGCAATATATTTGTTTTATTATTTTTATTATTTTCATTGAAAGAGAGAAAAGTAAGTAAGAGATAAATTAAATAAATGGGAAATAATAAGAGAAGCTTATATTTTGTTGTAATTTTCTGTAACAGATTGTTCAAACTCTTAATTACTTCAGTTTTGCTAGCAATTACTTTGTATCTCCGTAAAGCAAATCTATTACAGTGATAATTTCTTAGAGAAAATTTATTCTGATATATTTTCTTTAAGAAGTTTATCACTAAACCATTGATTAAACTATAATTTATCTATTTTTTCGTTTTTTTTGGAACTAGACTAAAACTGAACTAGAACAGAACTAGAACAGAACTAGAACAGAACTAGAACAGAACTAGAACTGAACTAGAACTGAACTAGAACTGAACTAGAATGAACTAGAACTAGAACTAGAACTAGAACTGAACTAGAACTGAACTAGAACTGAACTAGAACTGAACTAGAACTGAACTAGAACTAGAACAGAACTAGAACAGAACTAGAACAGAACTAGAACAGAACTAGAACAGAACTAGAACAGAACTAGAACAGAACTAGAACAGAACTAGAACAGAACTAGAACAGAACTAGAACAGAACTAGAACAGAACTAGAACAGAACTAGAACAGAACTAGAACAGAACTAGAACAGAACTAGAACAGAACTAGAACAGAACTAGAACGAAACTAGAACAGAACTAGAACAGAACTAGAACAGAACTAGAACAGAACTAGAACAGAACTATAACAGAACTAGAACAGAACTAGAACAGAACTAGAACAGAACTAGAACAGAACTAGAACAGAACTAGAACAGAACTAGAACAGAACTAGAACAGAACTAGAACAGAACTAGAACAGAACTAGAACAGAACTAGAACAGAACTAGAACAGAACTAGAACAGAACTAGAACAGAACTAGAACAGAACTAGAACAGAACTAGAAAACTAGAACTAGAACTAGAACAGAACTAGAACTGAACTAGAACAGAACTAGAACAGACTAGAACCAGAACTAGAACAGAAACTAGAACAGAACTAGAACAGAACTAGAACAGAACTAGAACAGAACTAGAACAGAACTAGAACAGAACTCGAACAGAACTAGACAGAACTAGAACAGAACTAGAACAGAACTAGAACAGAACTAGAACAGAAACTAGAACAGAACTAGAACAGAACTAGAACAGACACTAGAACAGAACTAGAACAGAACTAGAACAGAACTAGAACAGAACTAGAACAGAACTAGAACAGAACTAGAACGAACTAGAACAGAACTAGAACAGAACTAGACTAGAACAGAACTAGAACAGAACTAGAACAGAACTAGAACAGAACTAGAACAGAACTAGAACGGAACTAGAACAGAACTAGAACAGAAACTAGAACAGAACAGAACTAGAACAGAACAGAACTAGAACAGAACTAGAGCTGAACTAGAACTAGAACAGAAACTAGAACAGAACTAGAACAGAACTAGAACAGAACTAGAACAGAACTAGCAGAACTAGAACTAGAACAGAACTAGATCAGAACTAGAACAGAACTAGAACAGAACTAGAACAGAACTAGAACAGAACTAGACAGAACTAGAAACAGAACTAGAACAGAACTAGAACAGAACTAGAACAGAACTAGAACAGAACTAGAGCTAACTAGAACGAACTAGACTGAACTAGAACTGAACTAGAACTGAACTAGAACTGAACTAGAACTGAACTAGAACTGAACTAGAACTAGACAGAGCTAGAACTGAACTAGAACTGAACTAGAACTAGAACTGAACTAGAACTGAACTAGAACTAGAACTAGAACTGAACTAGAACTGAACTAGACACTGAACTAGAACTGAACTAGAACTGAACTAGAACTGAACTAGAACTGAACTAGAACTGAACTAGAACTGAACTAGAACTGAACTAGAACTGAAACTAGAACTGAACTAGAACTGAACTAGAACTGAACTAGAACTGAACTAGACCTGAACGAGAACTGAACTGAACTGAACT